TACCAAACCATAAAATAACCATTCAAAAACGTTGCGAAAACGTTATGTGTTAGCTGGGTGGTTAACTTTCGTTAGGCCTATTCATGCCTCCGAGTGATTTGACATGCCAGTTGATCCTCATGGATATTGTTGTATTTTATTTTGCATTTACTTATGTGTGGGTTCAATTTTGTATTTTTCAGTGAACCCTCTCCAGTGTCATCGTTTGTACACGATAATAATAAGTTCGTCAGAGGCGTATACAAGACTTGGTGAAATTATTCGATCAAATGTAAATTGCGTCCACAGCGTATAAAGAAGGATAATAAACGATAAAGATAAAATATAATAATAATATAAGTGATATAATAAAAATAAAATAAGATATAATAACGATAAGAAGCGAATAATATACCTTCTTTATACGCTCTTGTTATAATATATATAGTAATAATAGTATGTTATTATGATATGCTTTATATTGCAATTAAAACAAGAGCAATCGGAGATAGCAAACCTCCGCCACAGCGTAACAGTCCCCCCCCCATCTTGCTGGTGTGATGAATTTTTTTCAGAAATTTAAGAAAAGAAAAGAACCATAATTTTTTTTGATGAATTTTGATTGCGTCAATTGAAGTCTTCCCCACAAATTTTTTTTTAAATTAAAAATTGAAAAAAAATCCTGGATCCAGATCTGGATCCGGATCACCACCAAAATCTAATCGATTGGTTGTGGGCCCAAGACCAACCCGTCCAAAACATTTCATAAAAATCCGTTCGTAACTTTTTGAGATATCCTGTTGACAGACAAACCAAGTCACCAACAAACTAACAGAGGCGAAAACATAACCTCCTTGGCGGAAGTAACAAACTAACAGAGGCGAAAAGATAACCTCCTTGGCGGAGGTAACAAACTAACAAGGGCGAACACATAGCTTCCTTGGCGGAGGTAACAAACGAACAGATGCGAAAACATACCCTTCTTGGCGGAGGTAACAAACGAACAGGGGCGAAAACATAAGCTTCTTGGCTGAGGTATATAATGACCTTCACTTGCTCAATAACGCGCTCGTTCCTATAATATATATTATAATATTCCTACGCAAACAGATTTATTCGCAACATTTCACTCTTGCTCATCGTCGGACTCACTAGATAAATCGCGCACGCGGGTATGTTTAAACCTCCGCAGATTGAACTGTAACTTTGGACAGCAGAGAACTTTGAACGTGGGGCGTGCCAGACGCAGAATTGATAAACAGCACCCAGCCCTCCGTCGTTCCTATTTGCACAGTGCACGCGTCTGGCAGCCCTCGCACCTATATGAAGCGGTGAGCGAGGAGCAACCATTCCCTGACAGTTACCAAGGACTCATCGTTGCACACATCCTCTCTATACTGATCGCTGCAACAGCCACCATCATCACCGCACAGTTAGGTTCCCGAGAATTATAAACACTTCAATCATGGTGAGATTCGCTACTTGTGTTGTACTAGTTTGTCCGTGCGTTGTGGTGATTCTTGGGTGTTAGTCGTCTTAGATCTTGACTCATAGTTACTACTAGAAAGTTATTAGAGCATGGAGGAGGGAGCACTGTACAATTTGAATTGAGCTAATATGCGTACACGTACACGCATACATAGAAATATTAACCGTTATAATAAATTATGTAATCGCACTGCGAATGTTCATTCAGTTCTGGACGGACTTGCGGCCCCGGTTTTTGCGCGCAGCGCACGGCTCGCGGCGAAGCCGCGCCCCAACGCGAATACGCCGCCCCCTTTTTGTCNACGATGATGATGATGACGATGATGATGATGATGACGACGATGACGATGATGATGATGAGAGCAGTCCGTAGTCATGAGCATGGTTTACCCCGCTACACAGATAACAGCTGTGTGGGGGAGAGGGAAGGATGGCTTTCTTTAATAGTCAAGGCCAGATGCTGCATTGGGGGGAGGGGGAAGGGAGTGAGACTTCTTTAATAGGCATGATGGCCCAGATGCTGCGTTGTTAGTGTCGTCTTACTCGCATTATATCCATTAATAGTTCACACTTCCCGTGGTTATAGTTACTTAAGTTTTATTATAAGTTTATAGTTACTTATTGTTATTAGTATTATTATTATTATTATTATTATTATTATTATTAACATCATCATTGTTGTTGTTGTTGTTGTTGTTGTTGTTGTTGTCATAGTTACAATAGGTGTTATTTATAAATACAATCAGTTATTACGAATAGTATGACAAATGTTGTTATGTTATTATTAATATTATTGTTATTATTTATTGTCATTATTACTATTGTACATTTCTAGGAACTTTTATGATAATAATGATGACGACGATGATGATGATGATGATGATGATGATGACGATGATGACGATGATGATGATGATGATGGCAATGGCGATACGGGCAACGATGATGACGAGGACAATTATGATGGCGCTTATTATTATTATTTATTTATTTATTGTTGTTATTGTTTGTCACTACAGACTTTCAGGAGTTGTTTCCGGGCGTGAACGTGACGTGACGCGAGGTGCCTTCACCGTCATTTATTTATTTATTTATTGTTGTTATTATTTGTCACTACAGACTTTCAGGAGTTGTTTCCGGGCGTGAACGTGACGCGAGGTGCCTTCACCGTCATCACGATGAGTCAGAAGACTGACAACGACATGACCAAGTGGAACCCCGACGTCGAGGTCGAGCGGGAGGCTCTGCTCGCCAGCGTACGTATCCTAGCAACGAGCAGTGTATCCTAGCAACGAGCAGCGTATCCTAGCAATGAGCGGCGTATCCTAGCAGCGAGCAGCGTGTCCTAGCAATGAGCGACGTATCCTAGCAACGAGCAGCGTGTCCTAGCAACGAGCAGCGTGTCCTAGCAATGAGCGGCGTATCCTAGCAACGAGCAGTGTGTCCTAGCAACGAGCGGCGTATCCTAGCAACGAGCAGTGTATCCTAGCAACGAGCAGCATATCCTAGCAACGAGCGGCGTATTCTAGCAATGCCAGAGTATCCTAGCAATGCCAGAGTATTCTAGCAATGCCAGAGTATCCTAGCAATGCCAGAGTATGTAACCTAGCAATGACAGTGTAGGAGGGAAGGGGGAGAAGGAAGGTTAAAAAGAGGAGGAGAGCGGAGAAGAAAGACGTAAAATAATGAGAAAATTAAGGAAGTGGAAGCACGCTGTCGATGTTGATGTTTCAGCATTATTTCTATAGAAATGTATCAACACGTATTTATGTCATCAAACAATTACGCATTGATTTCTTATCGATTTTTCAGCATGAATGTATCTCCATACACGTCGGAAAAGCTGGAGCCGGAGAGCTCTCTTATTCATGTTGTTTGTGAACAGGGTGGACGTGCGGTGTACTTGTGTGTTGCAGATGAGCATTTGACCGGCATTTACGGGTAATTATCGGCAATAATAAGCGAAATAGAGTAGAGAAACATTAAGACTTTGGTAGTAAATACATTTCGTGTTTATGTACCTCTTTTTTTTAGACGTTCCAAGTGCCTGTGGAGTTGCGCGTTGCACTTGGCAAAGCGGGTGGAGCATTGGGAAGAGGTGGTCGCCAGGCATATTTAAGTGGGTGTGTCCAAGCGTTGGCAATCCTCCAGGCTTAATCACTTTATTTGTCCCCTTTCCGATTTGCTTCCTGTCCTCAGACTTCAGCTTTTGTGCTATTAGGAAAATAACTTTTTTCAGCGATCTGTTGGACACTGCATTACAGAAAATGTAAATACGTTTCGATTTGTCATCACTATATTAACATCGCAATCAACTCTACATGCCTTCGTGAACATCAGTGTGCATTTTAGGTAGATGAACTGCACTGGACCTTCGCAGAACATAAAGACGCACAGTGCGTGCCTACAGTTGGGAGAAGAATGTCAGATCTGCATGCTGCCTGTTTACGTGGGGACGTTGAGAACGTGTTAGAACTTCTGCGAGGTGAAGCGAAAACATCGCGCGTGAACGTACGCATGGAGACGCCTCTCCACGTCGCCTGCGCACTTTCGCCGGACAGGACGGAAGAGAAGATGGAGATTGTGAAACAGCTGCTGCTGCATGACGCGCCCCTGCAAGAGGAGGATGAGCGCGGGCGAACGCCTCTCATGCTCGCCTGCGAAACAGCCAGCGCTGATGTTGCAGCCGCGCTGCTAGACAATGGAGCGGACCTCCGCGCGCGTTACCGTAGCGACGGAACGATGTTGCATGCAGCCGTGGCCGGCGGGAACGCGCGGGTCCTGTCGCCGGCTTGCTCTGGACAGCTGGTCATCATTCGCCTGCTACTGGAGGCCGGCGCCGACCCCAACGTCGCCGAGACAAAGAGCGGAGTGACGCCGCTGATGATGGTGGTGATGGAGGGTGATGAGGCGGTGGTGCGGATGCTGCTCTCACACGGCGCCGACGCCAACGCCGCGGACTCGTACGGACAGACCTCCCTGTACCACGCGGCTAGCTTTGGCCAGCTGGACATAATGCGCCTGCAACTGGAGGCCGGCGCAGACCCCAACGTCGCCGAGACAAAAAGTGGGAAGACGCCGCTGATGATGGCGGTGAGGAACGGCAAGGTGGCGATGGTGCAGATGCTGCTCTCACACGGCGCCGACGCCATTGCCGCGGACTCGCAAGGACAGACCGCCCCGTTCTACACAAATTGCCCTGACCCAGGCTGGCTGGACATCATTAACATACTATATGCGGCCGGCGCCGACCCCAAAATCGCCGATACGGAGAGTGGAGCGACGCTGCTGATCATGGCGGTGAGGGAGGGCAAGGAGGCGAAGGTGCAGATGCTGCTCTCACACGGCGCCGACGCCAACGTCGCGGACTTGCAAGGACAGACCTCCCTGCACCACGCGGCTTGCTCTGGCCAGCTGGACATCATGCGCCTGCTACTGGAGGCCGGCGCCAACCCCAATGTCGCCGATACGAAGAGTGGAGAGACGCCACTGATGATGGCGGGGACGGATGGCATGGAGGCGATGATGGTGCGGATGCTGCTCTCACACGGCGCCGACGCCAACGTCGCGGACTTGCAAGGACTGACCTCCCTGCACCACGCGGCTCGCTTTGGCCAGCTGAACATCGTGCGCCTGCTACTGGAGGCCGGCGCGGATCCAAACGCCGCAGACTCGTACGGACGGACCTCCCTGTTCCACACGGCTTGCTTTGGCTGGCTGGACATCATGCACCTGCTACTGGAGGCCGGCGCCAACCCCAAGCTCGCCGAGACGAAGAGAGGGCAGACGCCGCTGATGAGGGCAATGAGGAACGGCAAGGAGGCGCTGGTGCGGATACTGCTCTCACACGGCGCCGACGCCAACGCCGCGGACTCGCAAGGACAGACCTCCCTGCACCATGCGGCTCGCTCTGGCTGGCTGGACATCATGCGCCTGCTACTGGAGGCCGGCGCCGACGCCAACGCCGCAGACTCGTACGGACAGACCACCCTGTACCACACGGCTTGCTTTGGCTGGCTGGACATCATGCACCTGCTACTGGAGGCCGGCGCCAACCCCAACCTCGCCGAGACGAAGAGAGGGAAAACGCCGCTGATGAAGGCGGTGACGGAGGGCGAGGAGGCGGCGGTGCGGATGCTGCTCTCACACGGCGCAGACGCCTTCGCTTCGGACTCGCACAGACAGACCTCCCTGCACATGGCGGTTTGCTCTGGCCAGCTGGACATCATTCGCCTGCTACTGAAGGCCGGCGCAGACCCCAATGTCGCCAAGACGAAGAGTGGAGTGACGCCGCTGATGTGGGCGGTGACGGGTGGCGAGGAGGCGGCGGTGCGGATGCTGCTCTCACACGGCGCCGACGCCAACACCGCGGACTCGTACGGCCAGACCTCCCTGTACCACGCGGCTTGCTTTGGCCGGCTAGACATCATGCACCTGCTACTGGAGGCCGGCGCCAAGTCCAACGTCGCCAACACAGTGAGCGGGGAGACGCCGCTGATGAAGGCGGTGAGTAAGGGCAAGGAGGCGGCGGTGCAGATACTGCTCTCACACGGCGACGCCAACGCCGCGGATGCGCAAGGACAGACCTCCCTGCACATGGCGGCTTGCTCTGGCCAGCTGGACATCATTCGCCTGCTACTGGTGGCCGGTGCCGATCCAAACGTCGCAGAGACGAAGAGATTGGTGACGCCGCTGATGAAGGCGGTGACGGAGGGCAAGGAGGCGGCGGTGTGGATACTGCTCTCATACGGCGCCAACGCCAACGCCGCGGACTCGCAAGGACGGACCTCCCTGTACATGGCGGCTTTCTCTGGCCAGCTGGACATCATGCGCGTGCTACTGGAGGCCGGCGCCGACCCCAACGTCGCCAAGAAGAAGAGCGGAGAGACGCCGTTGATGAAGGCGTTGACGGAGGGCAAGGAGGCGGCGGTGCAGATGCTGCTCTCACACGGCGCCGACGCCAACGCCGCGGACTCGCAAGGACAGACCTCCCTGTCCCACGCGGCTTGCTCTCACTGGCCGAACATGATGCGCCTGCTACTGGAGGCCGGCGCCGACCCCAACGTCGCCGTGACGGAAGAAAGGCGGAGTTTCACCGCGTTACACTACTCCTGTGATCGACTTCGAACCGAGGTAAAACTACGGGCGTACGTTGCGAATGATTGAGACCGAATTTAACAAATAATTTTACAATTAATTTTTTTTTTAATAGGGTTATGGTTAGGGTCACAATGCGCCATAAAACGGGAGTTTCATGCACGCGATTTGTATAAACCAATGGGATTTGGGAGGTATGAAGAATGAAGAAGGTTGCTGAAATGATGTGTACGCAACTGCTTATCTGCATATCTGCGCCTAACAAAGGTGTCACTGCGCACGACTTAAATGTTACGTTTATAACCGTAGCAACAGACCTCAGATGAGCCCAGACTCGGTGACTCTTGTTAGAGAAACAATCTTATCATGTAAGAATTTTACGCTACATTTAGTCCCGTTAGTACTTACTTTTAAGGTGAAAAAGATGCCAACAAACATTTTACAAATATACACCATAGAAAATTCGTGACGTAGTCAATTTAATATTACACAGGAATGCACGCACGCATGCACGTACGTGCGTATACACGCACGCACGCACGTGTGCAGCAGGCCTCTCAAGGGGTAGCTTTAAAAATTAGTGAGATTAATTTTGAATCAGAAAATCTTAAGGGCGAAGGCGCAAGGGGGGGGGGTGGAGAGAGGGCGTGTCCCCTGCCCCCGGTAGGAAATTATTTTTAAATGGGGTAGGTGCTATTTGACGCCCTCAGCAGCAATCTGAACATGATATTTGTTGCTTATATAAGCATGAAAAAACATAAAATGTACAAAAATCATGGTGATTGTCGTCGCTGGGTGCGCCACAAGTACTTTGGAAGGGATTAAATAAAGTGATTAAGCCTGGAGGATTGCCAAAGCATGGAGACTTATGGATGGATCCACTAAAATATGCCTGGGGACCACCGCTTCCCAATGCTCCACCCGCTTTGCCAAGTGCAACGCGCAACTCGGTAGCTAAACCTGCGCTGAAGCGTAAAGGTGGTAAGACAAAAATTAACCAGTGCAGTCCTGAACTGTTTTGAATGGAATAGTGGAATAGGAGAAAGTGTAGGAAAACAACTAGGTTAAAGAACTAGCAAGAAGTGGTGTAGGTCCCGAATGCAGCGTTATGACTAAAATGTGGGAAGTCTGGTTGTGGTGGTGAGAGTAAGCGCACGCGCTTACGCGCGTGTGCGCGTTTCTTTGTTCCTTTGTGCAAGATGGACACACTGTGTGTAAGATATTAAAGTTTATTCAGGTTACCACACAAGTTTGGATTTCTATATCATCATTTATACATCGAACTTAAAATTCAACGCGTTACATTGAGTCGTTGAGTTTTGTTTGACACGAATGTTTGAAAGTTCGAGTTCGATGAAATTAAATGAATTATGTCTTGAAAAATGGTTCAGCAAAAATGTAAAAAGGTATAATTTTCTCTCTCTATATATATAGAGTTTTCCACCGTCTACAGTCATACACTACTAGCTCTGTGGTGGAGCGAAGAGCTATAGTTCCAGAGCTACGTATACTTTGTTAAACTACTTCTGATAAACCTGAAAAAAATGTAACATGGGCTATCCTTGAAACACATACCTGCACCAGAGCTCACAAGCCAGGCCCGTAGCCAGCTTTATATTGGGTGGGGGTTCGTTTTTAAATGTTGGCAATTTGTGAGGGCGCGAAGCGACCGAGCAGGGGGAGGGGTGGGAGGGGGTGTCCCCCCTCCCACACGATGGAGATTTTGCAATTATTACACTAAAATGGAGCGAGATGCGGGGGAGAGTCTTATGACAGTAATTATCTCTTAGTCAGAAGGGATAAAACTAGAATTCGTGACGTTTCGTTTTCATTTCGTTACGAATTCTATTTTTATCCTCCAATCCAGTCGGTGAGGCAATTCCTCTGGTTAGACGCTGTGTGGCTGAACTTGCGTTGAGTCGCACGCAAAGCGTAGCGTGCTTAGAGGCCCGTAGCCAGGGGGGTTCGGAGGGTTCGCACGAACCCCCCCCCCGAGCCTCCCCTTTTTCTCCCGAGCAAAAAAAAATGGCTACAAGATCTTCTCACCATCAGGTATGCACAGCATCCGCTCNGCGCACGCACGCACGCACGCACGCACGCAAGGACACACACACGCACGCATGCACGCATATGCATGTGATAGAACACACACGGCTGTGTGTGTGTGTGTGTGTGTGTGAGTTTCTCGCAACTATATGTCGTGTTAGTTAACGCACACGCTCGAGCACGCACCCAAACACGCACGCACGCACACACACGCACGCACGCACGCACGCACACACACACGCACGCACGCAAGGACACACACACACACATGCACGCATATGCATGTGATAGAACACACACGCACGCAGAAACGTTCAAATACGAGACTATATATCTATAGGAATCGCACACACGCACGCACGCGCGCACGCACGCACGCACGCACGCACGCAAGGACACACACACGCACGCATGCACGCATATGCATGTGATAGAACACACACGCACGCAGAAACGCTTAAATACGAGACTAATATATCTATAGGAATCGCACACACGCACGCACGCGCGCACACACGCACGCACGCACACATGCACGCGCACATACTATCGATGTTTGCACTATCGATGATCTTATACTCACCGATCTCAGGTGTAAGATCCGATCGTTCACCGGAACAAGCTGGCTTGCTCTGCCATGCATCCATGCAGCTCCGTTACGCACGCTGACGACTGGTTGGCCGCGAGCACGCTCTCACATGGGGGTGCGCTTCCTGCGTCCGTGCAATCACCGTCTGCGTAGCAGCAGCGGCGGCAGCAGCAGCAGAAGTGGCGGCAACAGTAGCAGTAGTAGCAGCAGAAATGGCGGCAACAGTAGTAGCAACAGTAGCAGTAGTAGCAGCAGAAATGGCGGCAACAGTAGTAGCAACAGCAGCAGTAGTAGCAGCAGCAGCAGCAGCAGCAGCAGCAGCAGCGTGGGAATCTAAGTCATGCTGCGGCGTGCTAGAAAGAGGATAGGGTTAGGAAGTGAGTGAGAGAGAGAGAGAGAGAAAGAGAGAGAGAGAGAGAGAGAGAGAGAG